TAATTATAATTATAAGAGTTATTTGACTAATTTGAGGAGATTAAAAAAATAAGTTAAGTTGGTTATTTGTAATAAATATGTGTTATTTTTTCTAAAATATCCTTACTAATCAAGTGTATTGGCTAAAACTATAATTATTAGAAAGATTATCTTGAAAAAAATTGCATAAATATGAAAGACAAAATGGATTGGGATCTTATATTTAGGACCAAAATAAAAATCAAATGAGATCTTATATTAAGAACCTGAGGTAGTAGTACCTATGGCCTTTAATGTAAGATCTAATTGACTAATTTTAGTAGATTAAGAAAGTTTTCTAAATTGGTTATTTATAATAAATAAGTGTAATCTTTTCTATAATACCCTTGTTAACCATGAGTATTAGCTAGAATTACTATTTTATGGAATCTTTTAACATATGTAAGTGCAATTACTATAGCACCTACTTTGAAAGAAATAGATAAATATAAAAAACAAAATAAATTTATATATTATATTTAAAACCAAATTGAATGTCACATATATTACCTACCGGAGGTAATAGCATGTCTATATGTTGTCCCAAATTTAGCTGCTTATGGTTATGATAAGTGAACAATATATTTTCCACTTTAGGTAACCGACAAATTTAATGAACAATTCTTGGGGACTTGAACCTCTTTAATGATTAAGGTCGATGGTCAATGGGTCCGCCCACGTTTTTTTTTCAAAAGTGAAGGTGAAAGAATCTGGCTAATATTGAAGGTGGGTTTTGCCCAACAAAAAAGATATCAAACTCACTGAGTTGTTGGACATGTGGGATACCAACCAATCAATTTAAATTATAAGAAAAAATAATATCCAATCAATTATAAACCAATCAATTATCCATTCATTTATAAGAAAAAATAATATTTAAATTATAAATCTGAACTGATAAAATTTTATTTAAACCACACGTCCATAAGTATTTATAATAAATAGGTGTAATCTTTTCTATAATATTCTTGTTAACCATGAGTATTAGCTAGAATTATTATTTTATGTGATCTTTTAACATATGTAAGTGCAACTACTATAGCATTTACTTTTAAAAATATATATAAATATGAAAAACAAAATAAATTTATATATTATATTTAAAACAAAATTGAATGTCACGAATATTACCTACGGGAGGTAATAGTATGTCTATGTGTTGTCCCAAATTTAGCTGGTTATGGTTGTGATAAGTGAACGCTATATTTTCCATTTTAGGTAGTAGATAGAGGTCAAAACCGACAAATTTAATGAACAATTCTTGAAGACTTGAACCTCTTTAATGATCAACGATGAATGATTGAGGTCGATGGTCAATGGGTCCGCCCACGTTTTTTTTTTTCAAAAGTGAAGGTGAAAGAATCTGGCCAATATTGAAGGCGGGTTTTGCCCAACAAAAAATTAAAAGTGATGCTACCTCTTGTCTTTAATATACAATTCTATTTGATTTTTATTTTGATCTTAAATATAAGATCTCAATCTATTTTGTTTATTATATTTATACTTTTTTTAAAAAAAATAGCCTTTCTAGCAATGATAGTTCTAGTCAATATATTTGATTAGCAAGGATATTTTAGAAAAGACAATACCTATTTAAGACAAATAACTAACTCAACTTACTTTTTTAATCTCTTCAAATTAGTTAGTTGGCTCTAATAATTAAGACCGGAGGTAATATCATTTTTTCACCAGAAGTGGCATCACATGAAAATATGGTAAAAAATAATATAGTGTATTTAATTATAACGTAGCTTCATTATAGTATTTGATTTAAAATATGTATCATGTTGTTGCTAGCTAAATCCTAAGGATATTGCCTAACTCCACACCCACTAATTACTGTGGTTAAACTTGCGAGTTAACTCTCTAAATTTCTTACAAAATTATGTCGAATCTCTTTTAAACTTGTGCTAACTAAAAATTTGATTGAACTCATAAGTTCACTTACTAAGTTTAATATTTTTGTATTTCTAGCTTATAATATCATGTCAATGGGCTTGTGAACTCATGTTAGTTTTTTTAATTTAATTATGATTAGTAACTATATATATGAATTTCATAGAAATTTCTTTGTTGAGTATTGTAAACTATGAGTATTAATGGTTTTAATTTTAATTATTTGGATTTAAAATATATTTAGATGAAATTGTTTTTATTTTTTATATTTTAATTATTTAATTATATTTTCTTAATAGCTATTTATTGATAAAATTAAACTCTGATGATGTTATGATTCGTGATCCGAATTCATATCCTTGTCATGAGTGTGTCCAGACTCATGAATTTGACAACATTATTGTTAAATATACGGGGGTCACCCAAAATTCCTTCTTTTTCTTGTGTTTTTGGGATAAAAATTCAAGCCTAGCCTTGTTCTTTATGAGATATAGCCGTGTTTTATTGATTATTTTATTTTATTTATATATCATGATAATATATTTATAGAGTTTCGATAGTTACGATAAGGGTGGTTATATCCAAAAAAAAAAGAATGACATGATGAGAATTCTGAGTCTCCCAACTTTTTGACCTTGCCCCAGAAAACAATATTGACTTTCTAAGTTTTAGTGCTCTGTTATCTTTTTTCCAATATAAATATAAATATATATGTATGTATAAATCTCAACTGCTAAAATTTTATTTAAACCGCACACATAACTCCAACGTAGGAAGAAAACATCAGACCCGCGCAGCTGCGCAGTGGACACACGGCGAACTATTCTTTCGCCTTTTACAAAAGAAAACATCAGACTCGCCAAGTTGTTGGGCGTGTGTGACACCAACCAATCCAATTACCTCGAAATATGGTTTGAGTAATTATGTTTCTTAACCGTACGTGACGACGTTTTAAATGTTTGGTTTAACTTACAGATAAAATAAGGTGATGACGCATTCATAATCATGATTGTGATTTAACTAATGACAACATGCATCCGTAATTTTAAGGGAGGATACTATTGTTTATTAAAAAATTATTTCTTTATATAGATATTAATAATTCATGGCCATCAAATCTTTTGTTGGGGGGGGGGGGGCTGCCGAGATTCATATTAATAAAGCATGATATTCATATTTCGCTAGAAGAAATCCATAAAAAGTAATATAGCAGTGCAATCTTTTTTTTGTGGAGAAAATCACAAAAAAAGATTGCTGAAATAAAAAAATTATAAATAGGAATCCATTACAACATTAGTATGAGTTTTAACAACAATAATATGGGTTTTGACAACAATTTTTAAAACAGGTTCCTGTATGTAATTTTTCAATTTCGACGGTTTTTTGTTGTTGTGTTTTTTGTTTTTGGAGTGGCTGTTGAGAGTTTATATTTTACGCTGAGTTTATAACTTGTAAAGTAGACCTTGTTACGATTTTGACATTTTATATGGATGACAATGATACTAATTTTAGCTGGCTTTGATGGAGAAGTAATTTTCCGTTCTACTTTCACCAAAAAAACAATTACGTTGTACAAAATAAATACTACCTCCGCTCTTTAATACAAAAACTAGTTGATTTAAGTAGATTAAAAAAATTAGTTAAATTAGTTATTTGTAGTAAATAGGTATTGCTTTTCCAAAGTACCATTGCTAATCAAATATCATTTGATGAAATATTTAATATTTACAGCTACTACAATGACTATCTTTAAAAAAAATAAATAAACATGAGACAAAGTAAATTAGGGTCTTATATTGAGGATCAAATTGAAAGTCAAACTAGCTCTTATATTAAGAATTGGAGATAGTATATGATAATAGTTATATTTTATATAAAAGACAAAGATGGTTGGCAATATATATACTTATATATAAGACAAAGACACTACTTTTTTAATTAAAGAAAGTATGGTTGAGTTTAGTTTTAGGGATCATGAAAATTAGTGCATGGATTAAGACTCAAAGAGTATTTATTTATAGATTGTCTACTAATAAGGTTTTCATATTGACAGTAAAATTTCAACTCACAAATTTATAAATTATAAATAAACCTTTTACCAACTATACTAAATTTTTTATTAGAACAAAAATACTTATTTTAAGACTCATACGCACGCGCAATAGGCCTGCATGTGAGCAGGGCTTGGCAGGACAGGAGCCCTGCCCGATACCCAGCCCGAAGTATGTGCGGGCTGCATGCCCGTAGAAGCCCGAACCATTTTAGGCAGGGCATGGGCAGGGCAGGCTTCATTGCCCAAAAACCGATGCCTTGCTCATATCATGAAAAAAAAATCGATCTATACCTGAAAATCACATTTCATAATTCTACATTTTAACATATTAAAATCATCCAGAAATAATCCAAAACAAGTCCTAACAAAAATCCAATTAAATAACATCAATAATCCATTCAAAGCAAGATTCAATATTGTAATTGGAGCCTAGAAAATTGAATAGTTTGCACTTTGCATCAATCACCATAATTTTCAAAAAAGGATGGAACACTTGAAAAAATACAAATACAAATAACAAAGTTTAGTATATTAGAAAGTAAACAATAAAAAAAAAGTACTTCTGGATTTTAAAGGATGCACCGATTCACCTTACCAGCTTAACTAGTCATGCTTATAAAATGACCCTTCAATCGCCAGTAGCCATTAAATTCTCCCCTCCAGGTGTAGTGGAATCTAGGGGGAAAAAAAGTCAAAGAACAATGACATTACAAATTATGAAGTAAAATATGAGTTATTGAGGTTTAGGGAGAAAAAAATTACTAGCAAGTTGAAGGACATGTTCTGTCTCATCAAAATTATCAAACTCCCGAAGCTTGTCAACAAATTCAGACATTGATTGCCCAGATTGTAGCCAATTTTGGCTACAAGTTAGTGCTTCGGTCATCTTAGAAGATAAAGAGCCTCTATAATGATCAACCACACATCCTCCGGTGCTAAAGGCAGACTCAAAAGCCACTGTAGAAACTGGCATACCCAATACATCTCGTGCCATGTGTGAGAGAATTCTATATTTTTCTGAATTAGCTTTCCATCATAACAATATGTCAAACTCAGCTGCAGAAGGGATTTCATCTCTCGGGTCAGTTGCTATATATCTATCTAACTCAGTTTGAGGATCTGTTGAGGTTCTTTGTTTCATAGATTCTAACCACTTATAACCTGGATCCTCTTCACCACCACCACCATCATCATCATCAAAAGAAGGCAATGAAGTTGCACCTGCTGTACTTGTGGAGGCAGTCCCTGAGTCAATAGAAACCCCAGCAGAGTACTCATTAAACGACCGATACAAACAATCTTTGACCCTCTCCTTCATAATCAAGGATACTTTAGCATCAACGTAAAGAAGATCAAACATATGATTCACATATGCTAGTTTATACCGAGGGTCCAAAATGACAGCCACAAAAAGCAATGGATTCATATTTTCTGCTTGATCCCAATACTTGTCATACTTCACCTGCATGCTAGTGCTCATTTCTCTTAAGAAGCTATTAGCATTATTTGTGATATTCCTTTGCAGCATTTTCTGAACCCGAGCAATCTGGTGGAAACATTCATTTGCTAATATAGAAAGGGAGCTTGAAAATTTCAATGTTATGTCATAGAAGACCTTCAAGAATTTGATGAAAATTTGAGCATTATTCCAATCATCAATAACAGGACCAGAAAAATTATCTTGGTCACATCTAGTACCATCATGCTCACGCCTAGCAAAACTAGAAGCCTCACGCCTAGAGCTTGAGGTGCTTGAGCTAAAGTATGAAATACAGTCATCATCTTCATCATGCATCCGCTCAAACACTTTTTGAAACTTCATTGCAGCTTCTAACATTAAGTATGTTGAATTCCATCGAGTGGATACATCAAGGCAAACAAGGCTTTTAGTGTTTATTTTTTCAGCTTCAGCCCAAGTTTTGAATCTTAGGGAGTGTGAAGGAGAAGAACGAATATATCTAACAGCACTTCGAATGGCTTCAAAGCTGTCTTTCATTTCTTTAATACCTTCATTAACAATCAAATTTAGGACATGTGCACAACATCTTAATTGTAGATAATCACCATCACAAAGTAAGTCCTTCCAACTCCTCAAATGTCTTTTAAGATATCCCAAAGCTGAGTTATTAGCTGAGGCATTATCCATAGTTATGGTGAACACTTTCTCAACCTCCCAATCTAACAAGCATTGCTTAATCGTCCTCCCTATAGTATCACCCCTATGATTTTCAATCATAACAAAATTGAGAATCCTTTTGTGAAGCTTCCATTCATCATCAATAAAATGTGTTGTCAAGCATAGGTAGTTGAAATTCTGATTTGATGTCCAGCAATCTGTGGTGAGACAAACACGTTTAGCACTCTGCTTCAAAAATTTCTTCAATAATTTAACTTCTCCAAGATATAATTGCCACACATCTCTTCCAATTGTTGTTCTTGAAGGGATTGGAAAGCGAGGTTCAAACTCATTCAACAATTTCCTAAATACAGGCTTCTCCACAATTCTGAATGGTTGCTCATCACCAATAATAAATTCAGCTAAAACTCTTCTACATCGCTTCTCATCATATACATGTGGAATTAAAGATTTTCCTCGCCCAGCTGTTCTACCAGACAAAAGAGTTAACATAGACTGTTTTTATCTGTCGTGGCCTTATGTGCATTCTTTGAACACTTTGGGATATGCCTCAACAAAGAATTTGTCCCATGATCATGATGGTTTGGATTAGCTTTATAAGTAGTATGACAGTACTTGCAAACTGCTAAGTGAACTCCATTAATTTCTTCTATTAGCAATCTGACAAAGTAATCCCATACCTATGATGTGTGTTTAGGTTCTCTTGTCTTTCTCTTTGTACCCCTTCCATCAACATTTGTTTCTGGTGTGGTAGAACTTGTTTGTGGGGGAGTAGGGGTAGTAGAAGGAGAGATGGGACAAGGGAGGGCAGGATAAGATGGAGGCTGAATAGGAAGAGTAGGGCTAGTGGTAGAAGCTTCATTAGGTCTATTAGGATTTGGTGTTTGATTAGGTCCAGTAGGAATTGGTGTTTGAAGAGGGGTTGAAGCACCTTGAGACACTCCACCAATGGCCGGGGATAGTGATGTAATAGAAGTTTCCTCATCCATTAAATCTGCAATGCAAATATGCAATACCATATAATTCAACAAACTATTTTTTAAAGACATATCAATACACAAGGAAGGATCAAAGCTGAACAAATATTTAATTCAAAACCCTTATAGACTTATAAACTTGATTAAGAATGGTACGAAGTCTCAATAATATCCATCCAAATAGTAGCAGAGAACCGTTTTAGTTGTTTGTTTCGGTGAACAAACATGTCTCTTCTCTATATGCCTAATTGTCTTTCCTTACTTTGCTGCATTCTTTCTCAATTACTTTGATATTACATTCAACCAATTACTCTCCTAGTACATTTAATTCATTACATGCAATTACTCATAAAATAGTGCTCACTAACAAAATTCCATTTTCTTATTTTCTGCACAATTTCCTTTTATTAAAAATCCATAGGGAGGATACCACCAAATCGTGCCACTAATCCTAACAGCATGGAATTATATTTATAATTACAAATAGAATGGAATCCACTACTTTTCATTTATTATTGAGAAATATTTATGTCACTAAGCTATAAGATCAAAGAGGTCTATATAATCTTCTTTAATTACTTACAATGCTGTGTGTAACATTGTATCTGTTTAATTTCGAGATCAATTTTAACATCAGTATTCAGTATTTCAGTAGGAGGATTGCTAAATCTTGGTATTTAAGACACTATAAAACCTTACGATCACTGGTTATTGGTTCTATTAATATCATCTTTGAACAGCCACTAAGCTTACATCTCATATCCAAATCTTTCGGTAATTATGTTACATTGTTACTAAACGAAGTATTGCTCCAAAATGAATTCACTTCAGCCTTCAAAAAACAGAGTCACGATAGAAAGTAGAAACAGAATAGATTTGCAATGCCTGGAAAATAAACTCATTGGCCGAATATCAAAGCTGAATCGATAGAGGAAGATGGAGCTTGGCAGCGACTAACGGTGAGCACTCATGGCAAGTTAAGCTTGAGGGAATGCGAAGACAGAGGCGATCGTTGTTGGTGCTCAGTGAGTTGACTTTGGAACTGGTCGGCGTCTCGGTGAGTTGAGGTTGAGAGAATGCGAAGACGAAGGTGGTGTTGCTGCTCGGCGAGTTGAGCTTGGAAGTCAAAACTGGTCGGCGTCTGAGTGTCTCGGTGAGTTGAGCTTGAGTGGAACTGTGGAAGTCTTGAACTGCCGAACTGGAGCTTGGAACTGGAGGGAGGCTACTGATGACGGATCGACGGTGGGCAGTGAGCAGAAGTTTAGGGGAGGAGGGAGGCGCTACGGCATAGATTTGGTTCAGAATCTGAAATCCAAAATTTAAGGCAAGAGCGAAGACCCCGAAGTGAAACTATGAAAGTAAGACGGTGAAAAGTGAAAAGAGGAAAAATTAAAATATTATGTTATATTAATATATTTTATCATTTTAAATTTTTATGTATTATTATATATTATATATTATTATTATAATATATAATTACATATACTCCGTGCAGGGCCAAACGGGCAAGGTAGGGTACCCTGCCTGTAGCCCGGCCCTGCCCGTGATTAGCCCTGCACAGAAGTGTTTTTTTTTTTTTTTTAGGCTGCATTTTTTCAGACCGGGCTGGACTTTTTCTTCCCAGGCCCAAGCGGGCATACCGGGCTACTGGGCACAGTGAACACCCCTAATGCGCATGGCCTTTTGTCCTCTCAAATAAGGTTCTGGTGCACGTAAAACCACGATTACATCTAGGACCCGCTTGTCTCCATATATTTTTAGTTAATTTTTTTTGGTAAGCTAGTGATTGTCTTTGTCTGCAATAATTAGCTTTAATTTGTCTCTTAATTACATTGATTATTATGCTTTTAAAGGATTAATTGAAGGATATTTCATGATATGACAGTGATTAGGTAAGATCCTTTACCATTTTTTTTATCATTTGTTTTTGTTTCTTTTTTTGACCAGCATTTGTTTTTGTTTCTACAACCTTATTCTATTATCCTTTTTTTTCCAATTAAATTCATCAACATGCAATTTAACACAAACAGAAATTTATAGATTGAATATTATAAACAAATTGTTTCATCCGGTGAAACCCAATGGGCAGATGGCTCTAAAATGTTTAGATTATATAATTCACCTCACGCTAAGAATTTATGTAATTCCTCTAATTCAAACATCTTCTAGAAGACATAGATCATATATGTTTTTATTAATGAAAAATAAACAAAATTAAAATTAAAAATAAATATTAAACATAATATAAGTGACTTACTCCTCTAGTCCTATTTATAATGCAGAGAAAGAAGTTTTTTTTGTCCTATTTATTAGTCACTTTATTAAATTTTTACTATGAATGCATTATAATGTACTATATTGTCATTCATTTATTATAATGTAGATACTTATTTTGTTTGAAAAGTGTATATATTAAATAGAGGTAAAGTTAGAAAGTTACTATATTTTAATAAAGAGTTAATACAGTTTAAGGTTTTTCTTAGTTTATGTGAAACATGTTAGAAGTGCCTTATAAATAGCACCAGATGAATACATTTCAAGACTGAAGTGGTATTACTTTTAAATAATTGTGCTTTTTATTTTTGCCAACATAATGGTGAACTAAAAAATATTTGTTTTACCCCTACTAGTAATTAATTCGTGATCGCTAAATGGGTCTAATGAGTATGATTAGATGGGGAGAAAATAAATCAATGTGATTAGAAATGGGTCTAATGTGATTACAATTTGTTAGTTGTGTTAGCATTTAACCGCATCAGACTGTCCATTCACATTTTTTTAGCTTGATGTTTATTTATAATTTCATAAATTATAGGGTCTTGTGCGTAATTTGACCGTGGCCTCAACAAAAACCAGTACCCAGTCTTCCAACTCTACTATCCCGCAGTCAAAATTTTTTAAAAGATACTGCAATTAAAGCAATTTTTTGGGCCAACTTTTTATTTATTTATTTTTTTTGAGTTACAGGGCAAGTCATCATCCATAGGTCCTATTTAGAATTATTTATATTTAGAATTATTTATAAATAACTTTTTAACTATAATTTATAAAAATAGGAGATAATTTTTGTCTATAGGATGAGCAGTCTTAGGTCATGGCTAAGTGGTCAGCACATCTGATCGAGTCCACCAACTATTCAATTTTAAATTTAACAGTTAGTTGGAATGTTGGTGTTAGCCTGTGAAAAAAAAAAAAAAAATAATGACAAGAATAAAAAGAAAAAGTAACATTAACGTCCAATTCAACCACGCACCAATCGTGGGGTCCACGTCTTCCTTACTTTTGTGCCCCGGGCCAATGGTCTCCCAAGTCCAAACCAGTTTTGGAGTTGATATGCCAGTTGCTCGCATACCCATGCGGCAACCCGTTCCTTGTGACATCAACAGTGTCTCGGGGATATCTGTGTTCGACTGAGGATTTTTTTCTTTAAAAAAAAAAATGAGTAAAAATATTTTGAAAAATATAACGTCTATATATTACAAATAATAAACTTAAATAATTTTTTTAATTTATTTAAAATACTTAACTTGTTTTTATAATAAGGATTAGAAGTAGTATTTGTTATATGTATCTAATACTTTAATACTACTTTTGATTCTTAATATAAAACCCAATTAATTAATTTAGAGAGTTTAAAAAATTAAAAAATTATTTAATTATAATACATGTTATAATATCTTTAAAATACTTATCTTAGTTATTAGATTATATCAATTTATAAGTAAAGTAAAGTTACGAAGTGAAATAATTTACTAACTTCTTTGCTTTTTTTTTGGGATAAACTAACTTCCTTGCTTTCTTCGAATTATTCAAGCAAATTGGGTTTTTTGTTAGGGGGTATTTGGTTATTATTAAAAATATTTTTAAAAAACACATTTTTATAAATTGAGATTTTTTAACATATTTATTTTGTATTTAGGAAAAATATTTTTAAAACCAAGTTTCTAATTTAACACCCCTTGTGTATTTTACATTGTATTGAAAACCGGACCGGACCGGCCGGTTCAGACCGGAAACCGGTGAACCGGCCAG